CAGGCGGATCTCGAACCTGCAGGCTCAGGCAATCCACTCACCTCAGCCTCCCAAAGGTGCAGGATTACAGGCTGAGCCACCAAGTCCGGCTAACATTACTGTTATCATCTGTGTAAAGTATAAATGGTCTCTGGGTTTATCCTGACTTTAAAATGTATATAGTATCTGTTTTACCTATAGGAAGCAGAACCTGAATACATAATCAGTAATTTAACCATTCATTGAACAATTCAACACTTACTTGGGGTCAATGTGTAAGGTCCTCTGCAAAGCCCTATATGGAAACAAAGATAAGAAAACATGGTCCCTGTTTCTTGTCCCATTTGATAGAAATGATGGATGCTGTATCCCCTGGACACATTGAAAATACTTCTTATCTTTGGAAATATATGCTTTTGGAAACAGAATGCTTCTTAGTGCTTACCACCCAAATCAGACTGCAAATATCTCAAACACAAAAGATAAACCTTCTATAACTATCTTTCAAGTTGCTATTGTACATATTCCCAAAAAAGATACTGCAGAATTAATATTTGTCTACTAAGTCATTTTCATGTTGACTTCCATTAATCCCAAGGACAATTAAATCATACATGTTTTTATTTGATAAAACATAGAACTTTTAATTTTTACCATGCCATCCTTCAAAAAGGAAGGTTGACAAATGTGCAGCTAATCTATATATTTTCCAATTCACCAAAAATATATAAAAAAGATGTCACATAACTGGAGCCAATTTATGGCAGCATTTTTAAAATGTTGCATGACACATGAATATTTTAAAGCCACATTGGTTAGGCTATTTTTTCAATTATTAATATTTTTGACAGATCTACAGAAATGTAGTTATACCAGTAGATTTGTTGTCAAATGTTTCTACAGATTGTAACGTAGTTACTATATCCTTAAAAAAGTTGACTCTTATAGACGTCATAATTATAATTAACTAGTTAACTTTAATGCATTTTATGAATACATTTAATATAGGTCTATGTGAATGCCAATTACAGTTGCTTTCTAAAATTTTATTCGAGTCCTATCAGAAGAATGGCTCAGAGTAAGAATTATAGACAAATGAAATTGTGAGGAAACTTAGATAGGTTTAACAGAGCAGATTTACTTGACCAAGGTCACAATAATAGTGCACTTGACATACGTGAAGATTTCTTCAATTTTATAATCAATATGGAAAATTAGAAAAGCCAAGATCACACTGGCCATGAACTGCAATATTTTCCAGTATAAAACGTGATATTTGTATAAGTAGTTCCTAAAATATGTAATGTTCTCTCAATTTGTAGAATTAGTTCTTTTAGCATAATTTTCTTCTATGTATGAATTTTTCTGTTATATTTTACGTCTCTTATTAGAAACATTACTTATATATAAAATGCATCCTATTTTTCTTTTCTATTTTTATTTCATTTTGTGTAGTTTTTCCACCATGTCTTTCATATGCCTGTTTTAGTGTGGCACACATTCCTGGTTTTTATTTTATTCTCTATTTTTTTCCCTAAGTCTAAAGATTTTATCTTCATTTTTTTCCATTATCTCTTCTCTGATATTGTATTGTTTTAAGCTGTTTTTACTTTGGTTCCTTAGAGATGGTTAAGAAAATATTTGATGTTTTCTATTGCTTTCATAGATAATTAACCTTTTAATCTAGATTATTCATTATCCTTTTGCTTAGTTGTGTTCATTCATTTGTTCATTTATTTTGGTAGTATAAATGCATAGTGCCTCCTTTTTGACTTTCTGGTTATTTTCTGAAGAAAGGCTAAGGTAGACTAGATTATTGTTCAATCAGTCTTCAAGAATTCACCTACCCCATGGAAGGATATATTAGTTTCCTAGGGCTGATGTAACAAGTTACCAAACACCTGATTACTCAAAACAATAACTATGTATCATCTCATATTTCTGAAAACCAGATGTCCAAAATCCAGGTGTCAACTGAAGGCTCTGGGAGAGTATCCAGTGTTTGCCTCTTCTATTCCAATGTCTGCCAGCATTCCTTAGTCCTCCTTAGCTTGTAGCCTTATGGGCCTAGTGTCTGCTTTCATTTTCACATTGCCTTCTTTATGGGTATGTCAAGTGTTCTTCGTTCTCTCTTAGAAGGACATTTGTTATAGCAGTTAAGGCCCATGCAGATAATATCATTACTCAAAGTACTTAATTTAATCATATCTACAAAGACTCCTTTACTTTATAAATTTCCAGGGATTAGAATTTGATATCTTTGGGTGTCTATTATTTAGACTACTACAGACAGGTTCCTCTGCTCATTAATGTTGAGTTTAACCAAAAGATTCGCTTTAGGTAGTAGATGTTCACAAACTGGACAGTAAATGTACTTGCTCAACTGAGTTTGGCTCCTTGTACTTTTGACTTTCAACATGAGGAGAATAGGCATCTAGTAGCAGCCTATGTTTGATATCTATTACTACATAATAAATTACTACAAAAATGTTTATTGTTAAGAAATAAACATTTATTACTGTACAATGCATGTCATCAGGAATTTAGAAGATTAACTGAAGCTTCTGACTCTGCATCTTTCATGAGGATTCAGTCAAGTTGCTGGCCATATCTGCAGTAACTTGGATTTGATAAGGGTTAGAGGATCTAGTCCCAAGATTCCTCATTCATATAGCTATTGGCAGGAGCCCTCAATTTCTCACGATAGAAGCCTCTCTAGAGGTTTTCTTGAGTGTCCTTATAAAATTATGGCTGACTTTCCCCCAAGCATGCAATGCAAGAAAGAGCAAAGAGGAAGTCATATGTGATTTATGACCTAGTCAGAAGTTACACTGCCATTTACACTTTATTCTATTGGTTTGAAGTAAGTTATTAATTCTAGTTCACATTAAAGAGGACGGAAATTAAGTTCCACCTCTTGAAAGGTGGAGTATCAATAAATTTGTTGACCTGTGTTAAAACTCCCAAGCTGCTCCTCCCATCTTGTGACCCAGAATGAAACATGAGGAGGACATCAAACCTATCTAACCTGTATACCTGTGAACCCAATACATATACACATTGCTATATGCCTCTGTGGTTGTTTGCTATGTGGTAAAAGTTGACTGATTGAAAAGTATTTTTAGATCAATTGATTGTCCAAAAATAAATATTGGAAGAAGAGGTTAATGTAATGAACTAAGGCAGCTGCTCATTCTTACCCAAGAATGATATGATATTTCTCTACTTAATTTGTCTCACATTTTTCTCTTTGGGAAAGAAAGTTAATACAGCTCACAGTGAGTCTTCATGGTTACATATGCCAGAGCTAGTGCACTAATGCCTATTTACTGATCATAGTTGATTGCTGCTTCTTTTCTCTCCTCCTTTTATTCACTTTGTAGGGATGGTTCTAAGGATTGGGAAGTCACTTTGTAGGGATGGTTCTAAGGATTGGGAAGTTTTGGCATAAAAATAAATAGTCTCAAGTCTCTTGACTTTTTAAATAATGAACTTGGTCCCAACAGAAATATTCTTTGTTTCTGATCATCAATATCACAACCCATCTATTGCCCAAACCATGAGCCATATAAATACTCTTTCAGGGGACCAGTTAAACTATGTTGCTAATTTTTAGAGAATCTATACCCGTATGAAATTTGAAAAAGGTGCATATTGTTATTGGAATCGTCTCAATTGCTAAAAGTTTCTCAAGTATCTTAGATTATACTATGTATTCATTTGTCAAGTATAGTACAGTATAGTATAGTACACTACTCATTTGTCAAGCAGTTTAGATTAAAGTAT